GTTGCGTGATTCAGAATTGTAATCTATGAAACATTCAATCTAGTGAAACTCAGCTGAAATTTGGCTGAGAACTAGATGTAACCTTGTGATTTGGGTAAACCAGTATAAATCTTGGTTGTATTTCTCTAAACCTTAGTCTCTTTAAATTTGTTGCTGCTCTATATTAAATTGCTTGTTTTTCCTAATTTAAAAAAGTGATCAGAATTCAAAATCTTTGAAATAGATAATTTGTATTAAGAAAGTACGAAAATCTTTCAAAGATCAATTCGTCCCCCCTCTTAATCTCAGCCTCTTTTTCTAACAGACATTCTATGTGATTTTGTTGAGGAGGGTTCGATGGTGGATTAGGGGGTGCCTAGTACTAACCTTCCATACCTCTTCCTTGAAGAACTTCTCATCTTCCACACTTTGCCCACGATATTTGTATTGGCTTTGACCTTGATTAGAGTTATTGTGAATAAAGTGTGTAAGAGAACCAGATCGAATGAGTTTGGTCGATAGTACTTAGTGTATCGGAATGGGCTAAAGATGGTAAAGGTAGTGGTGCACATACTAATTTTAAGTTAAAAGTCTCTTACAAGATTTGTTATCTACTATTATTTAGAGAAGTATATTGCTCAAACTTTGCAGCCTAGACTTTTTAGAGGCTTGATCGAGAATGACCGACCTGTGATAACTTTCTTATTTTTAAATTGTACATTGTTATCATTCATGCGAATATAATTAGTTGCTCAAGAACACAACTCGTCCAGAGATCGTGGTGGAAAAGTAAAACAACTATCAATTAAAGGTCTTGGTATTAGAGTAACTTGTATTGCATAGAGGACAAGGACTGGGTTCAAAGTCAATATGGAATTTAATACCTTTGTGAACAATTCCAACATTCACCCCCACCTTGTTTCACACTTTTCAAAGCCACAAATGTGGCTATATGCATGTTACTAGCTTCAAATTGAGTTTGAAATCTCTCCACTAGTGTGTGATATGAATTAATTGAGTTGTAGGAAAGAGAATAGTACCATCATAAGATAGGTCCATGAACGTGGTTGGAAAAATTCGGCATAAGGTTGCTCCATTGTTTGTTTATAATTTACTTGTATTTTGTACATTGTCAAATGTTGTTTCGAATTTGTCGAACCATCATATTTTTTTAAGGAAGGTGGCTTCCACCCTATTGGAAGAGGGGTTTCCATGATTCTTAGGATGAAAGGATGGTCGTTATCCTCTTCGTAGACCTCAATTTATGAGTGTGTTTGTATGAATGTCAAGGTTGAGAATTCACTACAACGTTGACTCTTTGATGAGAACTTTGAGGTTGTGAATCTACTTGAACTATTGACTTGCGTTTGGTGTTTTCTTTTGATGCACCTTTTGTTGTTCTACTTGGTTGTTTCGAATTATGGTCAAGAAATACTTCTCACCTGGTGGTCGGGTTGACACTTCATCCTATGTTCAAATTTGTAAGTTGTAGTGTGTGCCTTGATGGTTGGTGCGAGTGACTAATTTGTTCGAGTCGGGTTGACGTAGTTGTGTCTTCCAATTGGAAACTTAGTTATTATGATCGATGACGTTTATTGAGAACCTGAACCAAGTCTAACTCTTTAGTCACGTTTTGTTTGTAAGAGCTTAGCATTGTTTTGTTGTTGTAGGTTCATTATTTCTTTGTGATTCTTTTGTTAGCACTCATTCATATGTTTCTTAAGATTGTTGATAATGGTAATCTAACTTCAAGTTAAAACCATGAAAAGAATAAGGTCGTGTGAATTGTTTTAGTGAATCCCATGATAGGCAATAACTATTCTTATTGGATTGTGGAAATTGAAAAAAAACATGTGAGATCTAATTAACTTCTGAGTTGTGTCCCGATATGAATAAAAACAATCTCCTTAAAAAAGAGCATAGGTTCACTTGAAAACGTATTTAGATACTTAAATCAACTTTTAAAGAAGACAACTCTATGTATAAAAGATAAATAATAGGATGATAGTTACCCTTTGGTTCCTTATATAAAATACAAATGATAAATAAAAAACAATAATAACTAATATTTAAAAATAATGTGTAATTATATAAATAATTTTTTTATTTTCAATATTTTAATAGATATAACTAAAAAAATATAAATTGGATTTAATCTAATTATATAAAATTAATTAAATTTGATTAGTTTCACTAGGTTACTCACAATTTAAACCTTCGAAAATTATTTTTAATTTTTAATATTTTTGAGCAACTAAGTTTGAATGAATTATAACATAAACGTTTCTCAATATAAAAATAAATAAATAAAGTTTGATGAAGTGTTTCATTTAAACATTATTGTGATAAACAAATTAACTATTTTATCAAATACATTACAATTGCTAATAAGTTTTGTGGATGAATTGTTATTAACGCCGCATGAAATAGCAAACATGAAAAAAGTACTAATTAAAGATGTTCCTCGAATGATTCGCCATCAACTTCGACATTCCACCATGACAATCATGAGCCTGTTTCTTTCTCTTCTAGAACTCCTAATGCAATTAAGATTGGTGGATAAAAAGGTAATTTCAAATAAATAAATAAATTCAAATTATTATTTTATTATTTTGACTCTTTAATTTTGTAAGAGTTAAGATTCAACAGATACTACTTACCATAGCATAAAATTCCATTAAATATTTTAGACAACGAAGATATAAACTCCACAAGGGAAGGAATTCAAATTATTTAAAAAAAAAACATAAATTAAAAGTTTATTTTTTATTTAATAATCTAAAATGATAATCCATCTTAATTATTAAATTATAAGAAAATAGATAAAAATAAAATTTGAATTCCTATTTTTACAAAAATAGAATTTTTTAAAATTAAAATAAATATAACAAAAAATTATACAAATTATTATAAAATTTTATAGCATTAATTTTTAGTTACAAGACAATCAAGAATTAAATTATATAAAAAAGTATTACTTATTCAATGTCGTAAAACATTTATTTTTTTCATGAGAAAATCTTAAATCACATGTAAAATGAAAATAGAGGGGTATTATGGGTTAATTAATCAAGCGTGTAAAAATAAAGTCACTATAATTAAATTAAAAAGCATTAAATGCAATTAAACAGACAGAGAATAATGACAACGCAAACTCTGCAACAACACCATTGGGATCTCGCTGTGGACCCAAATCTCTTTTCTCTCTCCATTCATCCTATAAAATTTTTCACCGTTGTCCAATGAAGCTGCACACAAAGTCTCCCACACCTGCGCCGCTGCTGAATTTTCCCTCAACAGAACCCAATTTCAGATTCACAATCCCTGTTTCATTCATCCATTCATTCATTGTTCTTCGACACGCTTAAGAAGAAAAACAGAGCAAAGCAAGAACTCTGAGAATCTCCCTCGCAAGGTCAGTTTTTAAAGTCAACCCACTGTTCAAGTTTACGTGTTCTCTTGTGGGTTCTGTTTTGTTTGCGTGTTAATTCTCTCCTCTTTATCGAATCTCAATTCCGTGTTTCTTTGTTTCTTTGGAATTTTTATCGCGGTTGGGGGTGTGTGCGTATTGGATTCAACGAGGGGGGTTAGACTTTTGGAATATTCTCAAAGGCATGCTTTCGAAATTTATTCATTCGCCAATAACTTGTGGTTGTTAGATGGGAAGTTGTTGTTGTTGTTAGGAATGGGGTTGAGGTGTTTAGGCAGGGAAATCGTTGTGCTAAGATAGGTTTAGAATTGCCTTCTCTGGTTGAACATTGGGATTCAAATATGGTTTTGAAGGATTTATTTGGAGAGGAGTCTTGAAAGTTTCAAGTTTCTACAATACCCTGCTTTTTTCGGAGGTGTTTCTCTTAACCAGTTTTGTATATCTTTTTCCCATACCGTGTTTTTTTTTTCTTTAATTTTTAAACCAATGGGTTGGGTCTCATAGCATGCTGACCTAAGACTTGAATATATGATCAGAGAGGTCTTCACGTTTATTGTTCAGTCCTGTTTCGAACAGGATTGGATAAAAAAAAGAATAACAAATCCTTTTGGAAAAAGAAAGTGGTGTAATAAATGTTTTAAATTGTGATTTTGTTCAAGAAATTGTCCCATTACAATTCTTGATATTGCGGAAAATTACAAAATGTGACTTTGGTGACCCCAATTATAGATATCCAAATGCCAGAAACCTTGATGTTGCATCTAGAATTATGTGGAAGAACTTTTCTAAAACCTTGGTAATACCATTTCGTTTTAAAAAATGTTTTCTGTATTTACCTTAATTTCATTTTAATTTTTGTTTCCATAATTTGTTTATAAAACAGTGAAAACAGAAAATGAAAAGAAAATAAGAAAAGAGTTGCTCTCATAATTTTTTATATAAACTTTTAAAATGTGAAGTACTTTTGTAATTAAAAGTGAGAAAAAAAAATGAAAGCAAAAGGACTTTGTTTTAATTCAGCAGAAGCATTCTTCTCTTTCTTAATCATTCTTGTCATTTAGTCAGTTGCTGCATTATGGTGTGCTTGGACATTTTACTGTGTCAATGGTTGATGGTTTGGCATTTCATGTTTGCTAACAAATTGGAATTTTTTGTGTCCGAGATTTTAGGATACTGTACTCCATCATTTTTGCAATTTAAAGGAATTGGCACTTACTGTCTTATTCCTGTGGTACTTGGGATTTGGGATTGTCTGTTGAAATAAACTTTTTCAATCCATGTGTAACTTTTATACAGCAATTGAAAATTAATAATTACTTTACTTCCAATTAGCTTGTTGAATGTGGATTCTATTGACACTGGTTAAAAAAAATTAATAAATACCCTATGAAATACTTTTAGTTGAAAATTAAGTATTAAATGATTATTGTATTTTGATATAATAAATACCTTCGGGTTGATAAATAATTTCTTATCTGAATGTGGATTGATGTCATTGCTGTTAGCATACTTGTCTACAATTGGGGATTATCAAATAACACTGAAGTACATTATTATTGCAGAAGGGAGGTTTTTCAACAATTTACTGAAGATGGAAGTTTGCGGGCCCGTCAAATGTGAAAATATATTAAAGCACCGACCCTTGACCCCTCTTAGGTTGTTGAGGGGTCTGCTATGTTTAGTGGTGTTTCTTTCTACAGCTTTTATGTGTTTAGTCTATTTTGTGCCAGTGGCAGTTGTAGGATTGCGGCTTTTCAGCATACGTTATAGTAGGAAGACAGTGTCATTCATCTTTGGAATTTGGTTATCTCTGTGGCCCTCTTTATTCGAAAAGATAAACAAAACCAAAGTTGTATTTTCTGGGGATAGTGTTCCAACGAAGGAACGTGTTTTGCTTATTGCTAATCACAGAACTGAGGTTGATTGGATGTACTTGTGGGATCTTGCACTTAGAAAAGGGAGACTTGGAAGCATAAAGTACATCCTTAAGAACAGCTTGATGAAACTACCTATCTTTGGTTGGGGATTTCACATTCTGGAGTTCATTGCAGTGGAGAGGAAGTGGGAGATAGATGAGCAAATATTGCACCAAAAGCTTTCAACCTTAAAGGACCCTCAAGACTCCTTATGGCTAGCTCTTTTTCCTGAAGGAACCGATTATACGTACTACCTGATATCCCTCTAACCTTGGATCTTGTCTTTTAATTTCTAGTTGCTTTTATCATCATTGGATAACAACATTGACTCTTTTCAGTTCTACAAATTACTTCACTTGACATTTTGTCTATGCATTTGATGTTTTGTTTTGTCTAGAATGCTGTAACTTGTGGATCATATTATGCCATACGACCATATACATATAGTTCAATTGAGATGCACGTTTGACATATGGCTTGCTTTTATTGTGTAGTGATCAGAAGAGTAAAAATAGTCAAAAATTTGCTGCTGAGGCTGGGCTCCCTGTGCTGAAAAATGTATTACTTCCGAAAACCAAGGGCTTTCATGCTTGCTTGGAAGCATTAAGAGGCTCATTGGATGCAGGTTTTTTGCAATTTCTTCTCATCAAGTCAATTCATAATGATCTGTGGTGGCTCTTTATGAAAATATCTAATCTGCTTTACCAGAAGCAACTGACTCTGCTTTTTGAAAAATTTAATTTAGCATTTAGCATTTTCTCCGTAGGGTGTCTCCTTTCACTACACCTTTGTGTATCTTAATCATGTTTATGTTAATGATACTTCACACATCCAAGCTTACTTCTATTATGTGTTCAATGATTTTTTGACATGACAATTGCTCTCTATTTGCACGATCTTAACTATCACTTCGTGCCATTTAGTTTTAAAAAAAAAAAAAAAAACAATTCTGCTAAAAGTGTGTTGAGCATTGTTACTGAATTTACATGCAGTATACGATGTGACAATTGCATACAAAAATCAATGTCCCTCCTTTATGGACAATGTTTTTGGAGTTGACCCTTCAGAAGTGCACCTGCATGTTAGGCGTATTCCAGTCGAAGAGATTCCTGCTTCTGAAACCAAAGCTTCATCCTGGTTAATTAACACGTTCCAGATCAAGGACCAATTGCTTTCAGATTTCAAGGCTCAAGGCCATTTCCCTGACCAACAAAATGAAAGTGAAATTTCTACATTTAAGAGCCTACTCTCTTTTACAGTGATAATTTTTTTCACTGTCATCTTTGTTTATTTTACATTTTTCTCTCTCATTTGGTTCAAAGTGTATGTTGGTCTATCTTGTGCATATCTTGCCCTTGCAACCCGCTTCAATTTTCAATTGATGCCTCTAAGTAACTATGTTCATGCAATCCTTAACAGCAAGAAACACAATAGTGAATAATGTTCTCAATTTTAAATGTCAATGTATGATCTTGGTCTTGAACTTTATATTTATTTATTTGTTGCATTTTGTCTTCCAAAGTTTTATTCATACAGCGCCAGGGATTCAAAGGTATACCATATTACTACCTGTGTTTTGTAGGAAAAAAAGTATTTTTCAAAACCAAATTTTCATTAACAAGTGTCATGATATGACCAAGAAATGTCGTGTTAATGCGATTTGTCATGAGCTAATGTGAGTCACCACCTTAAATACTCTGTTGTTTATAATTTCAGAATTTTACATTACTAGTTTCTAATACTTAGTCCAAATTAGGAAGCTGAAATACTAAATAAAAAGTTATTAAAAAATTTAAAATAAACATGTTTTTAATCTAATAAATTAAAAAATATTCTAAATTTAGCAAAATATTATTTTAGTTCTTAAAAATTTTGAGTCACTAAAAATAATTTAAAATTAAACCTTCTACCATAAATTCTAAAGAACTTATTTTTAACTTTTTTAAAGTTTGGAGATTAATTTTTTTAAAATTTAAGGATTAATTTAAAAAAAATGGATGAACAAAATCATAATTTTCATAAAATTCAAGAATTAAAAAATACAATTAAGCCTCTAACTACCATACATTTAAATATAAAACTTAAATACATTAATATAAATAAAACTTTTTATAAAATCTAAAGAAAAATGTTAAATTTGGACAAACTGAGAAGAGAACTTTACATTATATATACTAAAAATCATCAATTATTTTATATCAATTATAAAATTGACATAGATGTCATTAATATGGAAAATTGTAACTTTTAATATCAGTTGACAACTAATATAAAAAGAGGACATACTACATCATTATCTTGTTAACTGATGTAATATACCCTAATTTAAAAAATAATTTAGGAATCATTATACATTAGTTGTCTTTATAATCAATGTAAAAATTATACATATTATATTGTTTGTCCCTATAACCAATGTAATATATGTAATTTATACATTAGTTTTTACATATTCTATAATTGGTGTAGTATGTATTATGTTGTTTTAAAAAAATTATTTTATTTTGTTTATAACACCTGCAATTGTAATAAAATGGGAAACAATTTTACAATCGAATACAATTTTTCCTATATTTAAATTTACATATGTGATATTCTAAATTCCATATATATATATTTCTATATTTTAAACTAAAACAAAATAAAATTAAAAATAAATTCAATTTTTTAATCTAATTGAGAACCATAAAGGGTGGCTCGAGTCCAAAGAGGTGAAGTGTATGAAAGACTGTGATTAACAAAGAAGAAGAGATTCGGAGGAGAAAAGTTAGTGGTGTCACGGTTAAGGTGAATGGTTGGTGGTCTTGAGGTGAAACAGATTAATATTGGTGTTATAACGATGAAAGAAAAAAAATGAAAAGTAGAAAAGAAAAAAAGGAAGAAAAAGCTAGGAAAATGAACTTGAATTCATGCAATGCAAATGAAAAGTGGGAAAGAAAATATTAGGTTATTTTATAAATCAACGTAAAAAGTAGATATTATTTTGGTTGTAAAAGGAAATTATACAACATTTACTTTCTACATCGATTAAAGATGCATCAAAGTAGAAAATTCTTCATTTTTTTACATTAGTTAGTTTGTAAAAAGTGTCTCTAATATTTACGAAATTGTTATCACATTAAGTTTTACGATAATTTTTCTAAAATTAATATTATATAAGTAATATAAAATCATGGCACTTGTATATTTATATAGATATAATGTATAATTATATTAGCAATAATAATTTGGTTATCAATGTTGAAAAATAATAAAGTATTTAATAATAGCTCATTGTATTAATAAAAAATAATAAGTATGTATAATTATTAAATATCTAATGAAGTGGTATTTGATCAAATTTTGTGTGATAGGAGTAGTTAATTGTTGTGAAACAACGTAGAAGGTTGTACTGGTGAGTTTGTGGGGAAACTTGTCAATTTTTTATGGTAAGAATTGAGAGCTAGAGATCCACTTACATAGTACTTTAAAACCAAGTAAAAGGTGTGTAAAGATATCTTATGTTGCACCTTGAAAAGAGGCATGCGAATCAATTTGAATTATTTTAGAAAGAGAATTATGAAAAAAAAAATATTAGAATAAATGTTATGTTTAAAAATAAATAAATAATTAAATCTTATTATTACCCTCACCCCGACTTAGATGAAGCTGAGAATAAAAATCAATTATTTGAAGTTAAATATTGTATTCTTTTATAGCTAGATCCAATCTATTCTCTGTAGGGAAAGAATTCTTTGTGCAAAAAAAATAAAAAAATAAAATAATGGGTGGCTACTTATGAAGGGAGCCATATGACCATAAAATGTTTGTTATGTGATTATTAACGATAAGGATAAGTTTTTTATTTGTTTCAATTCAACATAATTAAGTAATGTGTTACTTAACCTTCTTCCATTTTCTTCATCCTATTAAAATTCAAATAATTGTTAATATCTTTACTAATACAACTAACATTCTCTCTTCCCTTGACTTGTTCACTCAAACTCAAAAATTAAATTCAACAACAAAAACCTATAATAATTTATGCCCACTCTTGGGGTTATAAGCTCAAGGTTGATCTTTTACAAAATATGGAACCATATATATTTTTCACTTGACGCTCATCCAATGATCAAGTGTGTTACAATTAAAAAATTATTTTCTTTCGTATTATCTTTGATTATCTTGAAACCTTCTTTAAAATAAATATTTTTAAAAATAGACATGTTTTATGTATCAAATTTCATGTCAATATATGGGGTTATATATTCTTCAGTCACTTAATAAGTCTTATTTTTCTATTTGCCTTAAAATACGAAAAACACTTAATCAATTTCTTAAAGTTCATCTTCTTTCGTTATAAAAAACAATTTGTTTGTCCCAAAATAACCTAGTCCAATAGAAAAATTCTAATTTATTTTTTAATATAATCAAATAAAAAGATTAACAAAATTCCTCTACTTGTTGTAGATCAAAGACTCCGTGTATCAACCATATAACAAAATTTAATCAAAGAATATAATTTTAATTAAAGTGTTAAAATTTTTAAATATTGAAAAGTAACAAGAAAAAAAAAGAATATTGCAATTTTGAATATGTTGGCAACCTACAAAGGAATACTTACCCTCCCAATCTAAATTCAAGGCCTTTAATCCTGTGTGATTGTGTATGTAGATTGAGTATTTTGTATAAGTTTTGATGAAATCCTACATCAATATAAAAATACGATAACATTATAATATATAGGTGAATACAATCTTCACATTATTAAATCAATTTTGTGGAATTGAGTTAGATATATTACCATATCTAATAAGTTTTACAAGAAGTTGAAATAACATGGTTCAAAATAAATAAATAAATAAATATATATATATATATATATATATATATAAATAAGTTATTAAATTAAAGACTATGTAATCATGAGTTTCATGATTGAATAATTAAATTAATACTTTTAGAAAGAGATTCAAGAAATTGACATAGAAGACATTTTGGAGAGATGTGTAAAATTTTTCTTAGCTATAAAGACATATTTATCCAATGAATTATTTAAAATGATGTGAAAAAAAAACCTTGTATATAAATTAATAAAATAATAGTTCACATATCTAGATTAAGCTTGCTCATACCATATGTTTAATATTTTTTTAATATATTAATTGATTTTTTTTCACCATATTATAACTATTTTTTTATTTTATTTTAATTTTTTTCTATTAAAGTGTTTTGAATATTATTACTCGATTACATACAACATACAATGTGAAATGTGTATACAAAAATTAATGTATTTTTTCTTTGGACAATATCTTAGTGTTAGACACTTAAGAAATGCACTTGTAATCAAATTGTATTACTTAGTTATTTTTAATTAAATAATATTTAAAGAAGGTAATTTTTAATTATCAATGTTCTCAAATCTTGTTAAAAAGAAACAAGTTTATTTAATTAATAATTAACATTTTTGTGGCATAACCATTATGTGATATACTCTTATTTATGGTGGGTTAGTGTACTTAACTTTTTAAGAATATATTGTCTTGATAATATAATTAGAGGAACTTTGAAAAAAAAATTAAGGGAAACATTAATTATTAAAAAAAATAAAAAAATAAAACTCTTATTTTATATAGAGAGATAATCTTACATTCTTCACTATCAATTAAATAGAATAATCAATATTAATATAATTGATTACAAATATACTAATAAAATGGATAAAATCTCATAAAATCATAAAAGAAATAAAATAATAGAAAAAGAAAATCAAAAAGATTTGTTAGCATTTTCTAGATAACAATGTCTATTTTCCTTAATATCCCTTGCAAATTAGGGAGTAAATGTTAAAATTCTTATCTTGAAAATAAGAAAATGAAATTGTAGAGAAGTTAGAGTTTTACTAGTTGATAAAATGAAGATAGAAGAAGTAACCTGGATAAATCAATTTGAATTTTTTTCCCTTATGACAATACAATTTTATATATTTTTTACATTCTTGGAATATCAATGTAGATATAGTTTGTTAAGGAAAGTAGTTGTTGTGATATTATAAAACTAGTGTGTTAAAAGGGAATTTGAAGATTTTACAATAGAAAATTTAACCATTGAATTTCATAAGTAACTAATGTCATTATCTTGTACTCACATAAGTGCACAAAATAGATTCCACAATAGGATATGACATTGATTATTCAATATTTGATATAATATAAGTTTTGGTGACATTTTTGTGATATTGGAGAGATACTACATCGACAACTAATGTAATATTCCCTTTTAAAATTTTCAGTTTTCTTCTTTGCTCACTCCACAATACCGCAAAAAGAAAAAAGAAAACACTAATGGAATGAGAAAGTTATAACAACTCTTCTACCACTGTTTGCGTTACTACTGTTGTTGTTCCTTGGTGTACCCATTTGTCACCCCATAGTTATCTTACATTGTGCGGGTGTGATG